TAGGATACGGGCAATATACAACTCTGTAAATTATTATCATTTTACACAGAGAAGAGATAGGGAAAAGGATGGGAATGGCTACAGAGAGTATGTGGCTTCCTTGTTTTCTTCCTTGTGGATTAGTCAAGATGTCAGAACTATAGCAAGATTCTCAGGCTCTCCGAGTTAAATGTAATGTTCTTAGTTCAGTTCAGCATCTCTGGGTTCCTACTTTTACTTTCCTAGAGGTGATAGGAACTCCAGAATATGCTGAAAAATATGTGCAAACACAATAATCACAGAAAAAATTTCAGGTTAGAATTCTAGTAAATATGGAGGATTAAGCTGATGTGAGAGATGCTTCTCCTTCCTCTCAAACACTGATATCAAGGACATAACTAGGGGATAAAGACTGCCAAGAAGCTCACAAGAGGGTACAGGTCTGGACAGCCAGAGGCCAGGCCTCTAATCCCATGGGAAGGAACATCTAAACCAATGGCCACCTGAGGACAGGGAGCTAACTGAGCCAAGATCATGAACCTCTGGGTCTCCAAACGGAGTTCCATGTATCAGAAATGGAAAAAGTTCACCTGATTCTGTGAGTGAGAAATTAAATCCCTGCAGGAAAACTGAAGCCAAGTTCCATTGTACATGGTTTCAAGTTCCAGATTCATAACATCCTTGTGGTACCCCAAGCTAAGATGCTAACAAAAAAAATATATCCTAGAGCTGTCAAACCAAACTCATTAGAAATCCTGGCCAAGCAAAAGTGAAACCATTCTTTAAGGCTGTTCCAATAACCCATACGAGATTCCCAGAGGAAAAAAACAAAAAAAACCTTCACCAAAGATAAGCCTCAACAAGCAAATTACAAACCACACAAGGAAATACTGTATATATGAAGCAAAACTTTGTTAAAAATAAAATAGAAACTGACAGAAACACAACCACAGTGGAAAATTTCCACTACCATGCTATTTTTGGAAGATTAGTTAGATAATTATTTATATAAACATTCACATGATCATATTGTAGCTGTCCATCTCCCTTTCAAAAATAATTAAAAAACGGGGCTAGCCCCGTGGCCTAGTAGTTAAGTTTGGCACGCTCTGCTTCAGCAGCCCAGGTTCAGTTCCTGGGGTGGGGGGGACCTACACCACTGGTCAGCAGCCATGCTGTGGCGGCAACCCACATACAAAATAGAGGAAGACTGGCACAGATGTTAGCTCAGAGCGAATCTTCCTCAGCAAAAAAAAAAAAAACAAAAACATATTAATAATAATTAAAAGGCTATACTTTAGAAAATTATTGAAAAATGATTTTGATTATATATGTATATACTAATATTGCATAGCCATTAGCATCATAGTTTCGAAGAATTCAAATCAATGTTAAATGAAAAGGGCAGAATAAAAAGCACAGACAGGAAAATATTAGTTTATTTTCTCTCTGAAAGAAAATATATTAAAATAGTTCTAGCATTAGAATGATGGGTGATTTCCTTGATAACTGTAGGCATCTTCTGTATTTCCCAAAATGTCTATAATGAGCAACAAGATTAGAATGATAAGACAGCATGCAAGAGCCTTAAAACTTTGGGAATTATACATAATTTGATATTTCTAGAGTTAAGGATGAGTTCAGAAAACAGACATGATTTGAGACTGAAAAGGTAATTAAGAGTCCCATCAAGAAAAATTGAGTGTGTCACTTTAAGAAACAGCTTCTCTGCAAAGGTTATGGTAAATCTCTATGAATTTTAAGCTTAGAATGTTAATCAGATATACATTTTCAAAAAGCGCTCATGTTGTACAGTGTCGGTTTGTGAATGCAAAATAAAACAGAAAACCAGGCTACAGTAGTAATCATAGCTAACATTTATTGGAGGCCTACTATGTGCCAGAGACCGTGTGTTGAGCACTTTATATATTCTAGCTCATTTAGTCTTTGTTTCAGCTCTGTCAGGTAGGAACTTTTATCATCACCCTCGTACAGATCAGGAAACAAAGGCTAAAGAACTTGCTAGAAGTCACTCAGTAAGCGGTGGAGTCAGGCTCCCATCGCAGGTAATCTACAACCAGCACTTTGGCGCTCCCTCCTGCACTAAGTTGGTGCCTTGCAAGGAGAAGTGCAGCAGACAGAAGTCAATAGAAGAACAGAGAGAGACAATGGATGGGTCCAAGAGGTTAACTAACATCTCTGGTTAACAGATTGGATTTGGGGTAGGAGGTTAAGGAGAGAAGGGAGTCAGGAACAATTCAGGAGAGACAGGTCAACTTGAATGTCTTGGCACATAACCTAAAAGTTACTTAAGTTCACTAGAGAAAACAAGAAATTTAATTCCTTTTAGTTTGCAATGAATTTTTGTATCTTCTTATATTTGAATGATTGAAATGCAATGAAATATAAATAACTCAGTCTTGTGATGCAATGAGAAGCGTGTAGAGTGCAGATCAGGATATACCACACGCTTTCTGATTTTTAACAAGTGATTCCTTTACTGTTCTGATGGAGCCCACTAATCTGCAACACTGTGGAGAGAAAGCTACATGACCTACCACAGGAGTTTTCTGTATTTATTCTCATTTCACCTAGAGCTTTTTAGATTTGCAATAACGCATTTATAGTGAGAATTTTCATGTTAAAAATAAAAACAGGAAAGATGTACACTAATAATAACTGTTCAAATTTATAAATTTTAAGCATTCATGATTACATTTAATATCAAACCACACTTTCTGCAAAAGCACATCTATTTTTACTCCCTTTTATTCGTGAGATTAAACATTCTTTTTTTTTTAATTTTTTGTTTATTGCAGTAACATTGGTTTATAACATGGTAAAAATTTCAGGTGTACATCATTATACTTCTATTTCTGCATAGATTACATCATGTTCACCACCAAAATACTAATTACAACCCATCACCACACACATGTACCGAATTATCCCTTTCACCCTCCTCCCTCCCCCCTTCCCCTCTGGTAACCACCAATCCAATCTCTGTCCCTATGTGTTTGTTTATTGTTGTTATTATCTACTACTTAATGAAGGAAATCATACGGTATTTGACCTTCTCCCTCTGACTTATTTCACTTTGCATTATACCCTCAATGTCCATCCATGTTGTCACAAATGGCTGGATTTCATAAACATTCTTAAGATATTTCCTCCTTATTATTGCTAACCGTTTTGGTATTTACAGGAATTATAGTTTAAATTGTTGAGATTATAGCATTTTCCATATGAAATGCATTAAAATAAAACTGTGTCAACAAATTTTTCATATTTATAAGGATTTTCTGTTAAAAAAAACCCTATATTACTATGGTGAACTAATTGGGATATGAAATTTTCTGAAGACCTTTCCCCTTTAGAAAATTGTTAAGCAGTAAAGTTTATGTCTAGGTGTTCTTTTTCTCAGTAGCAGTGGATCATACAATATTTGGCTTATCTTAGAGGTCATATTCTCCAAAAGTTAAGACTTCAATGTTAATTGTCAAAACTTTTTGATATTTTGAACTTCAAACCCATCATAACCCATGATGAAGGTTACCTTGCTAAATTGCTGTTGTTCAAATTGGGTCTTTTTAAATTCTTTCAGCTATCATGTTCCCTGTTACAGAATTACAACAGGGAGAGAAAAATGGTAGTAGGCGCTGACGCAACCTGCGTGCTGCATTACCAGTGTGGTGGAAAAATAATCAACAGTAGGGCTCTCCTAAAAACAACATATAATGGAGATTTAGCCCTGTGAATATATACCTATAAAATAGTCACATTCAGGTAAATAATAATTGGAAATTTTTGCACTTTAGAGAGTTTTGAAGGTGTCCAGTATTCGCATGACTCCACTTGGGCAGCTCAGAGCATGTTCTCTAGTTAACCATCCTTGGCCAAAGCTGTGAGATGTCTGAGATCCCTCCATCCTCTTGGCCCTCTCCAGTGCTGTTCCACTGCAGGAGCCACAGGATACCTCTCCCATTCTTTTGCCTTTTTCTGTCCTTAACCACTTTATTTCTATTACCAGTGGAAGTCTCACCACCCTCACAAGTAATCTTGATGGTTTGTTTATTCTGGGTGTTAAATTCCTTTTAAGGGTGTTTATGTTTTGCAAGGTAATCTTTGGGTCCTTTCATCTGTTTGTGCAACTATGTGTGCATGGGCCAGCTCCTAATTTATATTTGCTGCAGCAACCAGTAAGACTGACTGGTGTTCCTGGCCGTGCATTTGGCTGCACAAGACCACTCCTGATGAATACGTCGACTCAGTCGCAGGCTGCTGAACCCACTCTGCAGAGTTTTAGAGTGGGTCGACGCGATGTAAGTGTGCTTGCGAAAGTAGGGGAAGCGGGGAGGTGGTCTGTTCCAGGACCATCTTCCCAACCCCCTCCCCATCACAGATTACTGCTATTCTAATGTCCTAAGGATTTGTTTAGAATCTTCAGTTCGAATGAATTTAGCCTTTAGGCTTCGATAATTTTGTGCCATGTGTCTCTTAAGCAACTCAACGTCATTTCAGCGCTTAACTTGTAGTACTGACTTATTGACAACTTACTGACTGACCAAGTTATGTGTGACATCTGCTCTAATGTAGTACCTTCTCTATTTTCTTCTTTATTACACTGTTGTGCATAGGTGTTTTAACCTTGCAAACTGCCTCAAAATATTTTAAAATCGAGCTTATTGTCATCAAGCATAAACTCAAGTGAGTTCAACGTGGGACAAATCTACACTGAGCACAAAAGGATGTAGCTGGAAGGAACAAACTCATCGACACAAAAACGCATGCCCCCTTCCTTTTATCTAGACCCCTCTCCTTCTCCATACGATCTGAACCAGAGGAGAAGCCGATCAGCGGGGCGAGTGCAGATGCAATCAGCCCTGCGCGCTCAGCGCCGTGTGCAAAGTGCGCCACACCTGAATATTCTCTGGCTCCGTGGTGCCTGTGCTCCGCGGCTCCCCGGTGCTGCCGGCGTCCGCCGCAGGTGCCTCGCGCACCCCGCGCCCGCCCTCCCTCTCGGCGCCGCCGCAGTGCGCAGAGCGGGGCTGGTGCTCGCCGCCCGCGCACCGGGGGGACGCGCTCCGGGCCTGGCGCGGTTTCGCAGCGCGTGCCCGCCCCGCATCCCTCTCCTCCGGGCTTCCTCGCATCGCCGACTGCAGCCCCAGGCCCCGCCATGGGGAATGTGCCATCCGCGGTGAAGCACTGCCTCAGCTACCAGCAGCTTCTCCGGGAGCATCTCTGGATCGGGGATTCAGTGGCAGGGGCGCTCGACCCCGCGCAGGTACCACCTCGCGGCCCAAGGTGTCCCCACCCTCTTGCACACTGCCAGCGGGCCTCTCCCCCATCAACCTCCTGGTCTTCTCTCCTCTTATTATGTCGCCTCCGCACCCCGAGGCTCTTCCTGTAGCAGTTCTGTCGTATTAGGCCTCACCCCTTAAAAGGTTTCCCATCATATTTCTGCTGTGAACATACAGACCCGCCTCTAAAGATCAGACCCAGCACAATCCCTCCCTGTGGCCATTTGCAGGTCACCTAAAGGAAACTGTTCCTTCTTTGTTTTTCCCTTGAAAGAGATGCATTAGATAAATTAATTTGTATCTGTAGGCACTCCTCCAAGGACAGTGCCCTTATTTTCAGTTCTCTCCTTGGACTGTGTAACAAAGACGACAAATGTGTCAGAATGGGAGGCAAAAAGAGGAGCGAAGCCAACATAGAAGGTTAAGAAAACAGTCGGATGAAATTATCCATCATATCGTTAATTATCCTTAATGTATTTATGCTTCAACACACTTGAACAAGCTTGAAAAAAATTGTAAATAACAGTAATTTCAGACCAAAATTTATTCCCATGTGATTCCTGAAAGCCCATTTTAAGACAATAGGCAACTTACTAGTATCCACATACTTGCGATTTAATGCACTCTCAACCAGACATGGCAAGTAAATGAAGAAAATATATATAAAGAAATTTACTTTTCCCTTAAAAGAGCTTAAAATTTAAAATTTCACAGAGTAATAACAGTGATAATTGTTATGTGAATGTTAAAACATGGAAAAATGGAAGGACACTATGAGGGTTTAGTTATTATTTTTTTGAATTTTGCTAGATGCAAAAATGATTATTCCTGATTCATTTTGTGACCAAAATAATAACTTGTATTAATTATAATATTTTAGAGGGTAAGCATGATTTTACAATGTGGCTTTAAATCAAGTATTCTAATGTTAGGTATCCATTTTCCTATAGTTTTACATTTAGTGTATTCTCAGTTCAGTGTATCAATATGTGAAATTGTAATCTTAGTTCTGCAAGTTGGAATTCAGCATTTGTGGATTCCTTAAAAGATCCTTTGCTCCTCATAACTTAAAAGATGGCTGTGGTCATCTGATGCAAAGCCTGTTGCTGACAATACAAGAGAGGGCAAGTTCTTCTGTATCTTCTCATATGTTCATGTGTCTCTCTAATTTTCTTACGTTCTGATTTGATCTTTATATTATAACTTTCCTTGTAACTTTCATGTTCAGTCTGTTATATAACCAGAAATCTTTAACGTTTATTCCCTAAGCCTGAGACTTTATATGACTTCTATTGCTGTGTTAACATTGTATTTCTTTCTCCTGGTATGTTTTGATTTTGTGGGCTTTGGGAACAATGATAGAGGCCTGGCTGCCACATGAGGATGTCTACTTTGCCCTGTTAAGATGTGAAAGCAGGTTAATTGAAAATGACTAGGATGATTGATCAAGGAACGTGAGGAATAGGATTTTTGGACATCTGTCAGCCTAATGAACGTTTTCCTCCTTTCTGAGAAATAGCTATACCTTCTCTAAATACTGCCTTTTTTTTTTTTTTTTTGTGAGGAGGACCAGCCCTGAGCTAACATCCAATGCCAATCCTCCTCTTTTTTGCTGAGGAAGACTGGCCCTGGGCTAACATCCATGTCCATCTTCCTCCACTTTATATGGGACGCTGCCACAGCATGGCTTAACAAGCGGTGCGTCGGTGCGCACCCGGGATCCGAACCGGCGAACCCCGGGCCGCCGCAGCGGAACGTGCGCACTTAACCGCTTGCGCCACCGGGCTGGCCCTAAATACTGCCTTTTTATCCCCCAACTGCTTTGCCTGGGAAACTCCTATTCCTTCCTCAAATACAGCTTAAATGTCACTTCCTTTGATCAACTCTTTTTTCCTCCAAGGTTCATGCCCCACTTCTGTGCTCTCATGACATTTTATGTATAATTCTGTTTTAGTCCCAGTCTTGTTGAATTCTAATTTTTCTTGTCTTGTCCTATTTGAACTCACAGCAGCATTGACACCTGACGACTGACTCTCTGAAATTTATCTCTTTCCTTGGCTTCTGTTTAACTGTACCCTTCCTGCTTTAAGCCCTACCTCTGCTTCCTCAGTCCGGAACCAGACTGGCTCTGTAGCCTCTATCTGTCTGGCAAATGTTCAGGTTCCTCATCACTTCTTTTCCACACTTCCAGTTTTGGTTACTATTTGTATATCTGTGTCTTCCAGATTTATGTTTCCATCTCTTTCTTAAGCTCCAGTCCTGATGTTCAACTGCTTACTTGACATTGTCACTTGGATATCTCAAAAGTAATTCAAATTCAACATTTCCAAAATTGGATTCATGTTCTCCCCCTTACAACCCCAGATCTTTTCCAATATTTCCTATTGCAGGGAACACCATCGTAATTCATTCATCTCTGCAAGTTACAAACCAAGAGCTCCTTATTTTCATTTCTCCACATTCAAAGTATCACCGAGTCCTGCAATTTTACCTCTTGAATTTCTCTCAAATTCATTTTTCCAACTTGACTGCTACTGCCAATTTTAAAAGGGTGTTCTCTCATATGGATGACTACACTATTTCAATCCTTCTTTAACCCACCGTCTATATAGCTAGTTGGGAGATGTTCTCTATTTCAGATAGAATTATGCTATTCCCCTGTTTCACAAACTTCTATGAATTCCCATTGCTTTTAGGAATGAATACCAAAATTTTTAATGTGTTCTCTGAAGCTTCAAATGGTCTTTTCATTGCATATCTCTGCAACTTCATCTTAAACTGTTCTCACTTGTTCTTGCACACTGGCCTTCCTTGAGTTCTCTAATAATGTTTCCTCTTGAAACACTGTCTTTGTTTTCCTCTCTGCTAGGAAGATTCTTTTCAGCTAATTAACTTCTGTTCATCCTTTGGATTTCAACTCAAATGTTGCTTTCTCATGAACTCGTTCCTGGACTCTCAAGGCAAGCAGACTTTGTTATCATATGTTGCACAGTGCACTATTCATTATACGTAATATGAATTATATATTTATTATTGTGATTATTTAATTCCCTGCCAGACTCTAAGCATCATAAAAGTAAGGAAAAAAATCCACCACAGGATTCTCAGCAACTAGCAGAATGTCTGGTTAGTTTTTGATGGCCACTAAATACCTGTTGAATGAACAAGTGAATGAATGTTTAGCCTTGTAGGCCGTAAGCATCTGATGCTTATGGGAACCATAAAATTCTTCTTAGCACTTTTCAGGGTCCAAAACAATGACTAGTACATTGTAGTACAATGATAAATATTTAAGTGAATGTAAAGTGATGGGAATGCATACATGATGTCGACAGAGTTTTATCGTAGTGATGGAAGATGGATATTATTTCTGTTTGTGTCTTGCCTTTTCATTTCATGGAACTTAGTCATGCTTTTGTGGGGAGAAGAGTTGAAAATGGATTCTGAAGGCTGTGAAGAGACAGCACAGCGCTTAACCAATTGTTCACTGTTAACTCTGACAGAAAGACTCATGAGCAGGACCCCTGTGATTTGAAATAATCTGGTCGCAGTTGGGACAAGACAGAATGCTGTATTTGAAAGAATCCAGTCTTCTATTGGAAACCTAGACCTTTTTCTGCTACCAATTTATTCATGATTTCGTGTAGGCAATAGCTTGTCTAGATCTTAAATTTTCAGATTATGCGTTAGAGGTAATAATGTATCCCTGATAAATTATTAGGATAAAATTAAATATTGGGTGTGTGTATGTATAAATACACACACACATTTGAAGTCTAACAATTTATCACGTGTAAAATGAATCAATGTGAATGAAAGGCTTACTCTACTGCAGCTCCTCTAACTAAATTCTTTGAGTCTCTAATTTTTTGCTAATGACATTGGTTTTGCAGAAGATGCCCTTAATAGACCCAGAGGTTAAAATTGATCATTTTGTGGTTCAAGCTATCTCTTAGGGCCTGTTTTATTTTCTATATTTGTCTCTGTTAAAATGTGTAAGATAGGGTGGCTTAATTGGTATGCTTTAAATTTTTAATTAAATTTAAGGTTCCTGGTAAAGCAGTTCTTTTTGATTCCTAAGTGCTGCTTTGGCACTAGCTAAATTTCTTCATATATTAATACACCATTGTAAGAATAAAATTCCCAAGGATTGAAATTCTAACACAATGTTTCAAATATATTAGATTTATAAAAGCAAAATTGTAGATTATGTGAGATTAAATTTATAGTTATTTTACATTGTAGCTTGATACTTTAAGTTACACTTGCTGTCAGCAAAAATTATGATTCAAAGTGAAGTATTTGGTGTTAAAGAGCCTCTGGAATTTAACCTAAATGTATTATATTTCTACTTAAAATTAATCAGAGGATAATGTGACTATATTCTTTTTAGTTTGTAACTATGCAGCTGTTAGTACATTTACTGAATACCTTCAGATGATTGGGGAGGAATTTTCAGAAAGCAACCAAAGTACCATCCCACTGTTTGTTTTCTGTTTATCTCAGGTGTTGTTTGTTCCTTTTTTCTCCCTTTTTCTCCTTTTATGGCTTCTTTTGAAATTATGTATTTTTATTATTCATTTTCCCCCTGCATTAGCTTGTTAGTTATATGTTTGTACTCTATTCTTAGTTATCTATAAGATGTCAATATACATCCCTGACTTATTAAAATATTATATAAATTAGTACTATTGCAACTTATTAAAAATGCAAATATAAACATTTAACTCCATTTACTGCCTTCTGCTTTTTATATTGTATATATTAATTCTCTATATGATATATGTGTAATATATATTTGTACAGCTAATATACATTTATATTTATGCACATATTTTTTTCCTTTGCTCTTCATTCCTTTCTTCATCTCCATTCTTCCATCTGAGATTATTTTCCTTAAACTAGAAGTATTTGCTTTAATGTTTTCTTTAGTAAAAATCTGCTGACGATTTCTTTCAGTTTTTCTTTGTTTGAAATTAAATTT